TGCACATGAACACAGAGGCTGGAGATTGACCTTGGGGTCATTCATCATGGGCTATTCACTTAGTTTGTTGAGACAGGCTCTCTTGTTGACCTGGAGCTCACCAATTAGACTAGAGCCATTGACCAGTGAGTATCAGAGTGTCTGTCTGTCTGTCTGTCTGTCTGTTTGTCTTCCCAGTGCTGGGATTACAATGTGTGCTGCCATGTTACTCTTACTATTTTTTTTTCTAGTGGGCTCTATGGATGGAACTCTGGTATTTGAAGCACTTTACTAACTAAGCCATTTCCTCAGCCCCCTCCCGCCTCTTGTTCTTGAGGAAGGTCCTCCTGTCCAGCCCCGCCTGGCCTGGCACTCAGTACTGTTGTCCAGGCTGGTAGTCTTCCTCCTGCCTCCTCCTGAGTGCTGCTGGGATTACAGGCCTGTGCCACCATGCCAAGATTCCCTCTGGATGATGTCAAAGGGCCGTTCTTCACATTCAGAAATCCTTTCTTCTGCTTGACCCCATCTATGGCTGAAACCCTGGGTTTGTCTGTGTGTTTGTGGTTATTTTTTTTTAATTTTTGGAGTTGTGTATTCAAATAAGTTCAATAAACAGATAAGCAGTGCTATACCAAATATAGGCATTATAAAGTTTTTTTTAAAATTAAATGTTTGTTTAGAATAAAATGCTATTACAAAAACCTGTTTGTGGTTATTTCATTCATGAATTCTTCAGTCTCAGGATTTCTCTTTGGTTCATTTTCATGATGTCTGTCTCTGAACAAAGTCTGATGAAATAAAGTGTTCTCCTGATTACACCGTGTTATCTGTCTGCATTTTCTACACTTTGCTGAATTTCTTGAAGGTAATTATTTTAATTCCTTTAGAGGTAATTCATAATTTTCCTTTGGGCTGGGGTTAGTTAGCGGGAACTTTGGTGACATGCTAACTTAAATATCTCATTCTGTGTCCCTACACTGATATTGCACGTTTAGTCGAACAGCTGACTCTTCTGGTTTCTGTGTCAACTTTTGTAGTGACACCCCTTGCCTGCGGATCAGTCCTCCTGGCGGCGTGCACTAGCTTTGAATCCAGGCGGGTGTGGTGGTGTAGCCTCTACTTTTCCCAGATGGGACCTGCATCAGCCATGCTCAAAGGCACCATGGTTTAGACTGTAGGAGTTTGTGCTGGTGGCAGGTACAGCCTTCAGAGGAGTAGGATGCAGGACTTCTTTGTATGTTCAGTGAGTGCATGGTGGGTCCACTACCTTGGGGACACAGACTTACTGTGTTTCATTGGAAATAGGATGCTCCATGGGCTCTCAGTCCAGGGTGATTCCTCTGGGCCTAAGCGCTGAGTTTCCAGGGTTAGGAAGCTGCTGCTTATGAGATCGTGGTGCAGTGATGGTGGCATCTCACACTCAGAGTGTGAGTGGACTGATTTCAAGAGGACATTGTGCTAGTCACGATGGCCTCGTCTTTAATCCCAGCACTCGGGGGTGGGGGCAGAGGCAGGCAGATCTCTACGAGTTCGAAGTCTGCCTGGTCTACATAGTGAGTTCTAGGACAGCCAAGGCTATGTAGAGAGACCCTGTCTCAAAAACAAGCAAACAAACAACAACAGCAACAGCAAACCAAACAACAATAACAAAACAAACAAACAAAAAGAAGAGGGCAGTTGAGGGCAGTTGAGGGAAGAAAAACAAAATATTATGTTTGCTCTTTTAGGCTGAATCTTGATTTAAACAGGTATGCACAGAGGAGATGAAAACAAAAGAGTGGATGTGGGATGAGGAAGGTTGGAGGGAGTTAAGGAAGGGTCAGGAAGAAGGGATGGCAGAGAGCGGGGGCGAGGAGAGCAAAGCACAATGATGCATATGCACGGAAATGCCAGAATCTTCTCTATGCTAACTAAAGACATTTACGTATGCATGGAAATTCCAGAGTAAATGAAATCAATTCTTCTCTATGCTAACTAAAGACATTTTAAAACAAAATACTTTTTTTTTTTCCTTTTTGTTTTATTTTCAAGACAGGGTCTCACTATGTAGCCCTGGCTGTCCTGGAATTGAATATGTAGACCAGGCTGGCCTTGAATTCACAGAGAATCCGCCTGTTTCTGCCTCCCGAGTGCTGGAGTTAAAGGTGTGCACTACTGTGCCCGAGATACAGTTCTTTAGTCATTGTTTTGGTTCTTTTTGTTTTTTGTATGTGTGTGATGAAGACTAGGCACCTCCAGTCAGTTAACTTTTCCTTCCTTCTTTGCTTCCTTCCTTCCTTCCTTCCTTCCTTCCTTCCTTCCTTCCTTCCTTCCTTCCTTTCTTCCTTCCTTCCTTCCCTCTTCCTCCCTCTCTCCCTCCTTCGCCCCCTCCTTCTCTCCTTCCCTCCCTTTCTTCCCTGTGGGAGTCAAGTGCTTCACCACTGAACTGCACTTCCAACTCTGAGTAGCAGAAAGCAATGAGAAAAAGCAAATGATTGATTACCATGGTTACTCTGATAAATATAGGTTTCAAATGCTTCTAAAGTTTATTATTATTATTATGATTATTATTATATTGGTGAGTGGAGAGCTATTGAGTTTTTCTTGGTGTCTGTTTCCTTTTCAGTTACTGGCTTTCTCTTTGTGCCTATGCCTTGGAGAGGTTGCTTCTTTACAACTGCTTTTGTAGACTTCTCTGCCAGCAGTAGATTGCTATTACTTGTTCCTGGACACTTGCTAGTGTGTGTGTGTGTGTGTGTGTGTGTGTGTGTGTGTGTGTGTGTGTTTTACTTCTAAGAGCTAACCCCTTAGGCTGGTGCAAGTTTGGGGCAGAAAAGGATGGGGTCTCCTCCTAACATAGGTTTTCTTATGTTATCTTTGCCCAACTACTGCATGCCTTGACCCACGTCCCCAACTGTCTTTCGACCCTCCTTCCTCTCAGTACAGGGCTGTCTTTGGGGAGGGGGATGAGAAAAGAGGTGGAAGGCTCTGAGACTGACTTCATTCCTTTCACACAGTGTTTGGCTTTTGCTCGACTTCCCTGAAGCCACATTACAAGCAAGGTTTTCTTTGGTCCTTTGCCCTGCCTCTAATCTTTCTCATAAACACTTGATGGAAGTTTATGAAGAAAGCCCAGGAAAAGGCACAAATTTACTTTGGATCTGCAGCTACTAGAAGTTCTAGAGTCTTGCAGGAAGCCACACTCTGTCTTTTCTATATTAAGACAAATTCATTGGGTCAAAACACAGGGTTTAGCTCAACAGTGGAGAGCACTTGCCTAGCATGTATGAGGTACTGGGTTCCAATCACAGTATATACGTGTGTGTAGTTCACTTCCACCCTCTAGGTTATTTGACTGTGAGTCTCTAATCTTGACCTCTGTGATTTTTACCCCTAAGATGGAAAGGTTCTAAGGTATTTCCATGTTTCTTACAATTGTACCACCCATCAATGTACTTGAAATAAGATGTATTGTTCAACCTTGGCTGCTTCAGTTTCGACACAGATCAACAGCTTTGTGAGAATTCTTGCGTGAAAGTTAAGGCATGGCGCGGGGAAAAGTGGGGACAGTTGAAATGGGGACGCTTCTAACTTCTCAGCCACATTTAACCTCTCATGCGAAAGGAATCAGTCGGCCTCACGGGCTCATTGGTGGGCTCTTGCCATCTTTAGCTGGACCTGAAGAGGGGGCATTATAAAGAATGACAACTCTGTGCCTGTCACTTCAGTCTTCACTGTCCCTAGACCTAACGACCTGCGTCATATCCCAGCATGCGCAGCACAGCCAATAGCTTAGGCTTATTTTTAGCTAGCTCTTATAACTTACGTTAACCCATTTCTATCCAGCTTTGTGCTGCCCTGGGGTTCCTTTTCCTCGTGTACACACTTCCTAGCCTGCTCCCTCTGTGTCTCCTGGAGGCTCCTCAGACTCTACTCCACCCTTATTCTCCCAGCATTCACTCTGCCTCCGAAACCCTGCCTAACCACCAGCCAATCAGCATTTTATTGACAAAGAGAGCAACACATCTTCACAGTGTACAGAAGGGAGCCACAACCAAGAGGCTTCTGTGCATACATAAGACCCTGTCTCTAAGGGGAAAATTACTGACCAAAAGAGTATCTTAAAGAATGTGCCACTTTCCCAAGACATTGAAAAACAAATTGATGAGGGAAGTGGAATACCATCATCCTTGAAAATTTTAATGGCTCTCCTCCTTCTGTTGGGGAACTGTGAAAAGCACAGACGGTCCCTCCATTTTCCCACTTCAGCAGGGATGATGATGCTCTTAGAGGAAGAAACCTAGGGAACGTCTGGGCACCACAGAAGACATCAGGAACATGGAACAGAAAGATAGGGTTGGCGTGCAGGTATCTTTGGTAGTGGCTAATTTTTAAAGAATACATTTATTTTTATTTTATATGTCTGCGTGTTTTGCCTGTATATACGTAGGTATGTGCATTCCTGGTGCCCACGGAGGCCAGAAGAGGGCACTGGAACCTCTGGACCTGTAGTTAGGAATGGTGCCAGTCTTCATGTGGATGCTGGTAACTGAACTCCAGCCCTCCGCAAGAGCATCAAGTGTTCTTAAGCATTGAGCCATCTCTCCAGGCTGGCCATTGCTAATTTTGTTTCAGCTTGTCCTGTGACTGAGATAGAATAATAGCCTACAAGTCTAGGTCGGCTGAATGAACCTCAGTTTGAGGTGCCTTTTTGGAGAACGAGGGCTCCCCCTTTTAATCCCAGGGTTCCCTCCGTACCCGTCAGGTTCCACAGTAAGTGCGGGTCCTGAAGTGGGAGGTCTCCATCAAGGACGGTTGTCCCTTCTGTCCCAGGCAGGACTCTGGGTGTGCGCAGTGTGGTGTGAAGATCTGAGTGTAAGCAAGAACACATTTCCCACCCAGGGAGCCAGGACCCTCCCTTAATGCCTCTGACGCGCTGGCGCCTCCCTTCGAGGAGCCCGTTTCTCCGTTTCTCCGACAGAACCGAGGGCGGCCACGCGAGCCTGGGGAGCGGGTGCCACTTACCGGGAGAGGGGTGGTGGCCTACTTGGTGGCATGGCGTCCGGAGGTGGCTCCCTGGGTCTCATAGCCTGCCTCTTGTTGTTTCAGTCGGAGCTCTGGGAGGCCTGGGCAGCTACCACTGCATTCTCTACTTCCGATTTCTCCTCAGGGCACAGTGAGACCCCAAGGGTGGACCCATTGCCACCCACGCAGGTGCAAGTGACCAAGATGGCCCATCAGGACCAAACCTCTCCTTTCCAGCCGTTTTCCTTCGGTAACTTGTGAAGGGGTGTGTCTGTGGCAAGGGGAGGGCTGTGTCAAGGCCCAGAGTGGGAGCTTGTGACACCCTGAATTCTAGGGACGTGGATTCAGCCCAGGCCATTGTTGGATAGAGTCTGGTTGCCTTGCCTGTGGCTTCTGAGGGGAATGTGACTTCTGAGGGGGAGTGTGTGACACCACAGCTTGGAGGATATGAAGTGCCTCTGGTGTCAAGCAAGACATACATAGACAGCCTCCTTCTTGGTTGTCGTTGGGGCCTCCTGATGCTTTCTGTGGAAGCGCTAGAAGGGAGTGCTTGATTCTTCTGAGTGCTTCCCAAATTGTCCTCACTCAGGCTGTGGCCAACCCCTGATGAAAATCATGGGAGGCGTGGACGCTGAGGAGGGAAAGTGGCCCTGGCAGGTGAGCCTGCGGGTCAGACACACGCATATCTGTGGAGGCTCCCTCATCAGTGCCCAGTGGGTGCTGACTGCCGCCCACTGCATTTACAGGTGAGGAGTGGTGAGCTGAGAGGTGAGTGTTCTGGAGGGGACCCTGCGGTCCTAACCCACCTCTCTCAGAAGCTGGCCAAGTCCCCAAAACAAGATGCACAAAAAGTGGTGGTGGTGGGGTGGCCTGGTGTGATAATTTTGTTACTGGAAATGCTTAAGGTGGGGCACAGGTGAAACAGCCGAGAGATCCAAAGGGGGCTTTGGTTATGGAGGTGGAAAGCTCAGAAGCGGGTAAAGGGGCAGGGGCCGAGTCGAGAAGCAGAAAACGAGGGGAGAGGGTACAAGGGAGCCTCGCAGGGTCATGGCTCCTAAACCTACGCATCTTCTCTCCCACAGCCGAATCTCGTACAATGTCAAGATGGGCGATCGGAGTGTCTACCACAAAAACACAAGTCTGGTGATTCCCATCCAGAAAATCGTTGTGCACCCCCAGTTCTCGTCAGCCATTGTTGTTAAAAACGACATAGCCCTTCTCAAGCTTCAGCACCCCGTGAATTTCACCTCTCAGATTCGTCCTGTCTGCATCCCTCCAGAGGGTTTTTTTTTGAAAACTGGGACCAAGTGCTGGGTGACAGGATGGGGCAAAAAAGACCCAGGTGATAAGATCTGGTGCTCAGGAAGAAGCGTGGTCTTATTCCTACAGTAGAAACAAAGGATGACGGGAGACACTCCTTGGCACAGGGTGATAGGCAGTTTAGTGAGCTTGGGTGATCCTAGTCTTATGCTGAGGTCCTTCATTGCAACACGAATATCTGATGACAACCTCTGGGAACTAGAGTTGTGTCAAATCTCCTTTTGCAGTTTTGTGGGGACACGTGCTGAGTGATTATGGGTATTCCCAGTGGACAAGGGCTAGATGCGATGGAATTATCCTGGGTGGATTTTCAGATTTACACCTTCTGTGCATTAGTGTTTTGCCTGTACGTCTGTCTGTGCAGCAAATGCCTGCCTGGTAGCCACAGAGGTCAGAAGAGGGTGTCATGTCCTCTGGAACTGGAATTATGGGTTGTTGTGAGCCCCCATATGGTTGCTGAGGAAACTAAAGTCTGGTCCTCTACAAGAGCAAGTGCTCTTAGACAGGGAGTGGTGGTGCATGTCTTTAACCCCAGTCTGGTCTACAGAGTGAGTTCCAGGATAGCCGGGGCTACTCAGGGAAAGCCTATCTTGGGAAACAAAAACAAAACAAGTACTCTTAACTGCTGAGCTTTCTCTCTCCGGGGCCTTAGATAGATTTTTGCTCAGGAGATAATGAGCTGCCTGCCAGCTTCTCAATAGAAATACCTATAGTTAGGGAGTTCCTTATACCTAGAGGAACTGGGAAAGCCAGAAGGCCTCTGTTGGTAGGCTTCTTATGCATGAGAAGAAGTCACCTGTGACCTTTAGGGTTCTATCTCTCTGTGAACCTGTGATTATGTTCTAGAGAGTGAAGAAAATTGGTTGGATGCGGTGTTACGTGCCCAAGTATGGGCAGTTTGAGACTGGTTTGATTTACATAAACACCTCAGTCTCATCAAGAAACAATAACTTAAAGAGAAAGACGTTAGGATATCTTGGAACTATGACTACTGGCATTTGGTAATGCGCTCACTGGGTTCTCTGTCCACTGTGAAGATTCATACACTGCTGACCTTCTTCCTTAGCATTGAACGTTCCAGCAGAAATTCTCCAGGAGCTGGACCAAAATATCATCCATTATACCAAGTGCAATGAGAAGTTGAAGATGGTTACATCGACGTCTAATGACCTGGTCGGGAGAGGGATGATCTGTGCCTATAAAGATCAAGGGAAGGATTCTTGCCAGGTGAGTGCGTGCTTTGTCCTCGCCTCAGGTGGCAAGGCCCCAGTTCTTTGCCACCTTCTTTACTCAAGACAAGTTGTGGGGAGAGCCACACTCCCTATGGCTCCTAAAGTTGACCTTGCCTGATCTTTCTGTGTAGCACAGCGTGGCCTTAAACGTGAGATCTGCTTGTGTCAGCCTCCCAAGCGTTGAGATTATAGGGAGACGCCACCTTGTCCAGCTGGTCTGGTTCTTTCTAAAGGATGTGGTCTGCTGTGTAGGTTGCTGCATAGGGTTCTTGTCTACCTGTTGAGTTTGGGGATGGATAGTCTAATCACATTTTGCATTGAGTTCTCCTATGTCTTAGGGTTTTTATTGCTGCGGAGAGACACCGTGACCATGGCAACACTTATAAAGAGAACATTTAATTGGGGTGGCTCACTTAAGCTTCAGAGGTTCAGCCCATTATTATCATGGAGGGGTAGCATGGCAGCGTGCAGGCAGACGTGGTGCTGGTTGTATCTTGGCTTGTAGGTAACAGGAAGCTGACTGAGACACTGGGCAGTATCCTGAGCATAGGAAACCCCAAAGGCCGCCCCTGCAGAGATACACTTCTTCCAACAAGGGAATACCCACTCCAGCAAAGCCATACCTCCTAATAGAGGTTTGGGGGGTCAACTACATTCAAACTACTGCATCCTCTGTGGCAGTTACCATGACAAAGGGAGCATCAACCTGTGTTAACTGAGCTAACCTACACCACAACCTCACAGCTAGCATCACTGACTGACTGACAGGGTCTCTGTGGCAGCAGGTTTGGGAGAAGAATATGTATGAATGGACTCTATAATATAGAAGGGTTTTGCTGTGTAGTTAAGGGCATCAAAGGAAATTCAGGTTAAATGTAAGGAATTTGGAGCTCCTACATAAAAGTAATATTTAATGGTATTTTAGAAAGATTTTATTTATCATTCATTCATTCATTCATTTATTTGTTTGTTTATTTATTTATCAAGGCAGGGTTTATCTGTAGAGCAGGCTGGCCCCAAACTCACAGAAATCTGCCTGCCTCTGTCTCCCAAGTACTGGGATTAAAGGCGTGTGCCCCTACTGCCTGGTACTTGTTTTTATCTTATGTGTTTTGCTTCCATGTATGTGTACGCATCACATGCATGCAATGCCTACAGAGGCCAGAAGAGGGCGTAAGATCCTCTGGAACTGGAGTAACAGGTATTCTGGATCAATGTGGGTGTTCTCAAATAACCCAGGGTCCTCTGCAAAGCAACTAGTGTGCTCAACCACAGGGTCATCTCTCCAACCCTTCAGAAGTAGAATTCAGTAGTAAACACCACTGTGGTTCCAGAAATGATGATAATATTATCATTTTCCCATAACTTTTTGGTGGCCATATTGATATACCTAATTTTGGTATTTGTGCGTTAAGAGAAATTTGGTTCTGGCAAGGATGCTCCCCTTACCCTTCCATTCTCTCCCTCTCTTCTGAGACAGTGTCTTGGTTTGTAGCTTGAACTCCACAAAATTCTCCTGCCTCACCCTCCTTAAGGCTGCTACTATAAGCATATACCACTGCACCTGGCTCTGGCTGGGCCTTTGGGGTACCCGAGGAAACCCTGCATGAGCCTGTCTCCCTCATGTCCTCCAGTGCCATCAGCCCAATCCAATGGGGGATCAATTCCGTTCTTGCCATATGTTTCTTTCTTTCTCCAGGGAGATTCTGGAGGCCCTTTGGTCTGTGAGTTTAATGATAAATGGGTGCAGGTGGGCATTGTGAGCTGGGGCATTGGCTGTGGCCGCCGAGGACATCCTGCAGTTTATGCCGACGTTGCCTTCTACAGCAAGTGGCTAACCAACGTGGTGAACCAGGCCACTTGCTTCTATCCACGGGTCTTCCTCATCGTACCACTGTATTCGCTGACCCTGTGACACCCTGTGGACGAGCCGACCACTGTGTCTCATCCTACCTTCTTTCTGAGCCTCTCCCTTTCCTTCCCGTTCCTTCCCAATGTCCTTTCTTCAAATTCCGTTTGGGATCCCTTTCCCTAGAGAGTCACGGTGAAATGTGTCAGGGATCTGAGAGACTTCAAAGTGCTCTGGCCTGGTGCTCCAGCGGCCGTCCTTGGCCACACTGCTCCTGAGCGGTGCCCTGCCCGGCAGGAATGAAGGTGGATCCATTCCAGTTAGAGGACAAACTGGCCTGCCAGGAAAGCGACAGTGACCGACGAGAGGACTTCATCCGTGGTGCAACAAGAGCTAGACCCGACTCTGGCTTAAGGGCTCTCACCTCCGACTCCATCATCCTCGAGTTAGCTTGGTGATCACTGAGAGAGAGAGAGAGAGGACCTTCAGTGTCCTAACTATAACCGTTCTCTCCCTCTATCTATGATTCTGTGAAGTTACATTTCTCATTGAATGTAATTTGCAACCATGTTCAAAGATAAAGTGAAATTTGAAAATAATTAAGAAAATACATGAGCAGATTTCCTTATTTCTCTTAAAGAATTTCCTTTTATAAGTAAAACTACGGGGGTGAATGAAGTCCCCTGCCCTGCTCAGGCCTAATGACAAGAGGACGGTTGATAATGTTAAACTCAAATGTCCTGTGCCTTGGTCCTGGGCAAGCGCAGTGTGTTTGTAGCTTTTAACACTCTTGTCTGAGGTGTCTCTAAGAAGAACAGATAATTCTTGGTTTTGGTTGTGTGGAGGACACTTTACTCTCAGCCAGCAGGAAACACAAACTAGCCCCTGGGCGAGGCTTTTCTTTCTCTTCCCAAGTCCTCTGAAACAGTTCTCAGCCTCCCTCACGACTGATTGCTTGCACACATTCTCTTTTGCGACCGTCTCTTCAAGGCTTTTGCCATGTTTGACTCAGATACTTTTTATTGCTGATTTTTAAAAGCCATTCTTCATGTGTTCTGATAAGAGTATTAAATCTGTGACTTGATTTGCTTTTAACTGGAGGTTGTGAAGAATTTTCTTCTTTTTTTTCTCCTTAAAAAGGTTTCTAATGTTAGCCTTGACACATCAATGATCAACAAATTAACTTTTGTTCATGGCATAAGATAGAAATCAAAGTATGTACTTCTATGCCTTAATGTTTGTTAAATTTTTACAACATGATTTGTTGAAATGCATGTGTTTCAGCATTGAGTTAACACCACTAACTGACAGTGTATTTTAACACCTATTTCTTCACTACACTCGCTCCCTGTCCACCTACATATTCATATTCATAGGGCCACTCTGCCCTAGTTATTGTGTTTCTAGTATTTATTTATTTATTTAGTATACAATATTCTGTCTGTGTGTATGTCTGCAGCCAGAAGAGGGCACCAGACCCCATTACAGGTGGTTGTGAGCCACCATGTGGTTGCTAGGAATTGAACTCAGGACCTCAGGAAGAACAGGCAGTGTTCTTAACTGCTGAGCCATCTCTCCAGCCCCTGTGTTTCTAGTCTTGAAATTTGGTGTTGTGCCTGCATAGTCATTCTCTTGGAACTGGGGACTCTGAAGATAACTCGGTTGCAAAGTGTTCGCTGCACATGCTCACGTGAGGAGCTGAGTTCGAGGCCCAGCCAGGGTGGTGGTACACACTTGTCATCCCGGTGCAGGACAGGCAGAGGGCAGCAGACCTCTGCGACTACTTATGCTGCCAGGCCAGCCTAGAAGGCACCTCCAGATCCGCTGAGAGGCTCTGTCTCAAAAATACAAAGGGGGCGGCTTTTGGAGGAACAGTACCCAAGTACTTCTGTCCTGCATGTTCATGTTCACACTTGGTTCACACTTGTGCATGGGTACCTGTTCACACCCAAACACACACATGTATGTATATACACACAAATGAAATGTATGTGGAGGGCCTGGAGAGATGGCTCAGTGCTTAAGAGGGCGTGCTGGTTTTGCAGAGGGCCTGAGTTTGGTTCCCAGCATCCGTGTTCAGCTGCTCAGAGCCGGCTGGAACTCCAGCTCCAGAGTATCTGGCCTCTAAGCTCACCTGCACATGTGTCTGCATACTCACAAATAAAAATAAAATGAAGCTTTAAAAACCGTATATGGGAAAACCAACGGACACAGAATAACTGACACAAACAATACAGGTTTCAAGACTTTAAACTGATACGCTAATCAGTTCAGGGTTGTATTGACTTTGGGGCAGAAATATCAAACAGTGGAGCAGAACTAGGAAGCTAGAAAGAGGTCTACACCTGTGTAGTCAGATGATTTTAGTGAAAGTGTATTAGTACAAGCTAATGGGGGGAAGATAGTCTTTTTATTTAGCAAACGGTGCTGAGGGCCTAGGAATGGACCTTAGTATGGTGGAGCGCGTGTCTAGTGTGCCCGAGGCACTTGGTTCAATACCTAGTGCCACAAAAAAATAAAGGGTGTTAGAAAAATGACTTTTGTGCCTGGCAGTGTCACTGCACGCCTTTAATCCCAGCATTGGGGAGGCAGAGATAGGAGAATCTCTGTGAGTTCGAGGCCAGCCTGGTCTACACAGTGAGTTCCAGGACAGATAGGGCCTACAAGGAGAAACCCTGTCTCAAAAAACCAAAAACAAAAAAACCAACCAAACAAAAAAGAAACAAAAAGGAAATGGCTTTTGATCTTCAACTTGCAATGTATAGATATTTTATTCTGTTAATTAAAAATAAATTATAATCAATTTAACTCAATATAAACCATGAATCTATAAAGCTTCTAAAGAAAGCCAGAAGGAAAAAAACCCCATGGTTCTTGTGTAGGCAAAGATCTTTTACACAGGGCATAAAAAGTATGTACTCCTGCTGACAAGAAGGCTCTGTGGGTATAAAAGTCCGGTTACCAAGCCTGATGACTGCATTCATGCCTGGGACCCATACCGCTGCCCTGAGGACCAGCCTCCAGCAGTGCAAGGCTCTGTGGGGGTCTGTGGAGCCAGGGAGCTTTTATCTGACAGAGTAAGGAAAAAGACACACACACTCTCTCCTAACGGATTCCTTCTGACCTTTTCTTTATTTTTCTTCTGTATCTTTATTTTTTTCCTCTACATCTTTCATGGTGGTTTCATTCTCTCATTCCTGATGTTTTCCTTCTAACTTTCTTATTTTTTTCCTTATAGCTTATATGTCCCAGCGAAATCTTTCAAGCAGTATAAAAACTACAATATGGTTACATTCTAGTTTTCAAGTGAATGATTACGATGACGTTAAGTAAAAAACAGCATGTTTTCAATATCCTTTACATGAACAAACATTTTACGTATCACAGATGAGGAGCAAGTTGTCCCACGAACTCACATGCATTCATGTCCAATCGCTGTAGATTAACAGAGTGTGAGCAAGCAAGGTATTTTTCTCAGCCAGCTCTTTTACTGGCAGACTGCATTTTGCAGTTACAAAGAAAGGACCAATCATTTTATTATTTACCTCAAAAGGAATCTTATAAGAAGTCTTAGAAGAATCACAAATCAATATATATGAAAAAGAATCAGACAGCTCTATTTTAAATCCTCAGGGTGCATATCCACTCATGAATAGTTTGGTTTTTGTTTTTTTTTAATGGATTTTATTGCACTATACATTTTTCTCTGCTTCCCTCCCTACCTCTCCCTTCCCCTTCAACCCTCCCTCGAGGTCCCCATGCCCCAAATTGTCTTTTTCTCCTTCCCATGTAGATTAGATCCATGTCTGTCTCTTTTAGGATCATTATTGTTGTCTAGGTTCTCTGGGATTGTGATTTGTAGGCTGGTTTTCTTTGCTTTATGTTTAAAAACCACTTATGAGTGAGTACATACGATATTTGTCTTTCTGGATCTGGGTTACCTCACTCAAAATGATGTTTTCTGGCTCCATCCATTTGCCTGCAAATTTCAAGATGCCATTACTTTTTTCTTCTGTGTAGTACTCCATTGTGTAAATGTACCACATTTTTCTTATTCATTCTTCAGTCCAGGGGCATTTAGGTTGTTTCCAGGTTCTGTCTATGACAAACATGCTACTATTAACATAGTTGAGCTCATGTCCTTGTGGTACAATTGAGCATCCTTTGGGTATGAAATAAAAAGAAAAGAAAGCCTGGCATGGTGGCACACCTTTAATCTCAGCACCTGGAAGGCAGAGGCATGTGGATCTTTGTGAGTTTAGGCCAACCTGATCTACACAGCAATTCAAACACAGCCAGGGTTATATAAAGATTCCTGTCTCAACACTTCCCCACCTCTACCTCCAAATAAAGAAAAAAAAAAGAAAAGGAATGGGCTGGAGAGATGGCTTAGCAGTTAAGAGCACTGGCTGCTCTTCCAGAGGTCCTGAGTTCAATTCCCAGCACTGACATGGCAGCTCACAACCATTTGTAATGCCAGTTCCAGGGGATTCTACACCCTATTCTGGCTTCTGTGAGCTCCAGGCTTGCATGTAGTGTACAAACTACATGTAGTGTACAAACACACATGTAGAAAAAAACCCATACATATAAAATAAAAATAGAAATAAAGGAAAGGAGGAGGAAGAGGATAAAGTAGGAGGAGACTTGCTCGTATCGGGTCCCAGTGAATGAAGTTTTAGAAACTGCCTTGAGCAGAGGGACTCAGACCCTCTAATTTTAAATTAAAGCTTGTTCCACTGTCCTCAGACTCACAGCTGATGTTCTTAGTGTTGCTTGAGGTTTGTTCTCCTTCATGTCTATGGTGCACTGTAGCCTCCAAAATCCTGTATCTCATGCAAGAAAGATGGAAAGAGAAGGGCAAGGCCAAGGAGAGTCCGATTCCAACTAGATCACGTTACAAATTGACGAAAGCAGGGCTAATTTCAGTCTTTGAGTTTGTTAGTCTTCTGCTGCCACTTTAAGAACTAACCACGCCCACCCAGCCACTTCTGACCTCCCCCTTTCGCCATCTTTCTCTCTCTCTTGTGTGGTTGTCTCCTGTCGTGTGCACACGTTTCTCTCTGTCTCTGTGTCTTTATGTCTTTATATTTGTCTATCTCTGTCTCTCTGTTTTTCTATTTCTTTTTAAGTAATAAATGTTTACCCTTATGTCGCATGGCGTTGCAGGGACTCACGGCCATCCTTGCCGGACGCCGCGAGCCGCCCAGGACATCCCATCATCATATTCTTTTTAAAAGAACAAAAGAGTTGACATTTCCTTAAAAAAATGGTGATAATGTGGGAACTTCAGGAAGCTGAGATGTTAGTCTTAGTGTTATCCCATATCATCATCACCACCATCATCACCATCATCATCATCATCATCATCACCACCATCACCATCATCACCACCATCATCATCACCACCATCACCACCATCATCATCAGTTCTCATGCAACCTGGGCTTGCCTTGAGTTTATAATTCTCCTTCAACAGTTTCCTGAGTGCTGTAATTGCAAGTGTAGAACATCATCATTCTTTGTTGCTAATTTTTAGTTAGTGACTAAAGTATTGT